GGCAAGATTCTTTCCTTCTGGCCAAACTGAAGCTCTTATTTATGTAAAACTTTATCAGATGTGAATAGGAAAGGAAGACCCTAAGCTGGTTATTTCAGAAGAAATGAGTTATGTTGACTTGCACCAGGGCATTTTTCAATTTATATAGGAGCAGTGAGCTGCACAAATGCAGCCAGTGAAATTTTTGTTCTCATGTTCTTCGCATTCATTTTGGTATCCAAGTCACAGGAGTAAGCAGTGAGTAAGAATTACCAAAAAGAGACACAGAAATCAAAAGACCAACACCCCCCTACTCCGCTCCTGTCAGCCAGCCCCAAATGTTCCAGCCAGGATGTGGGGTTGTGTGGACACACTGATCTGTTCCAAGCTGCCCGCTGTGTCGGGGGGTTTCAGCAGCCTTTTGAAGGTGTCACAAACAGGTGAGATCACAGACACCTGCAGGCCAGGAGAAGCACATCCTGGTCCTGTCAGACAGAACACAGACTTTGAATATTCATCAGCAATAGTGTCTTTATACCCTGCTGTCATACCCAGCTTCCATTTGCTACCTTTAATTAATAATTGAAGGTATTGACTCCCATAGTTTCCGACTGCTGTTCAGGATCCTTGACAAATAGACTGATACCCTGGATTAACACAGCACAGCCTGAGCATCCCCAGACCCTTGACTGGTCTAAGGCACTGACACAAAAGCTCCCTTCCCATTTCTGAAACTCCTGAGACAGGACATGGTTTCTCTCCAACACTGAAATGCTACCAAAGGATGAGAGCAGCACATGAAATATTCACAGGGCAAACAGACACAGAGCCAAAGCAGACCAGAACAGAACTCCAGGCTTGCCCAGACACCAGGAAGGCTTCACAGTTAGCAATGCCACCAAGATCTTATTGCATGCCTCATCCCAAGTGCTGACGAGGTGCCAAGCTGGAGATAATTCAACATTACCCTTGGAGGACCAGAGCAGGTGGGTTCAAAATCTCAACATCAAACCTACAGACTTGCTGGAGACTCAGCAAAAACTTCACACAAACTGTATATTTTTGACAGACTGGCCACAAGACAAAAAAAGGCAGTGGTCTGGTTCACTGGCCACTTTTATGTTTCAAACACAAGAGCATAAATATAAGCCTAAAGGAAAAACATGCAAAATGTTAAGAGCCAAAATGCCGGAAGTCAATGTGGCATAAAGTCCACAGGAAGACATTAACCCACCATGACTTATTCCACAAGTTCAAGACAAGACAAGACAAGAAAGTTTGTGTCAGAGCAACGTTTTCCTCATAGGCAAAAAGATTTCCCCTTTGGTGTTTGGAGCCTTAAAGTTAAGCCATCCTTCTGTTGAACTAAAGCAACCACTCAGGGTGACTCTGGGGTCTCAGCTCAGCGGGCAACACCCAGTTCCAGCTGCATCCCTACACTCCAGTTACCAGTTGTGGATGTTACCCCAGAAGTGCACAGCCCTCTGAACACCACCCTGTCACTGTACAAATCCGGCAGGACTTACATCTTACCCTCTTCAGGATTTAAATATTAAATACCACAAGAGTTTAAAGCCTCATTAGCAGTAAATATTCTTCTCTTGGAATGCCAGCTGTTTTTTTTATCATCTAAATAATCATTACAAGGGCATGTACCCCAGGTAGCAAGATCTTTTTTTGTTTCTCCTTCTAACTTTCCAAATTTCCTAAAATAATAAAATACTTTGTAACTGAAACAACCAAACTTAATGATACTAATTGAAGCTGCAGATGTCTGGGCAGAGGGAAATAAGCATATCCATGAGTATTTCAGGAACATTTGTAAGTGATTTATTTTGCATTAAAAGCCACAGCAACAGCCAAAGTCCAGCAAATCATGTTTGTCCGGCTAATAGTAAATCACCAAAGGAAAGCTACATCCCTGAAAGACGGAATTGGCTATTTTTGAGCTCAAGATGAATACTGGAACACACTGAAAACAAAACAGAAGACTCAAAGAAGAAGGCAAAGATACATCTAAACACCTACCATTGCCTGAATGATTCCACTTGAAGGCAGGACACTGTTGACAGTCTCAGTTCCCACCACCAGTCCATAATGTGTCATGACCCACCGACCAGAGAAAACTAGAAAATCCTTCATTCAGAGTTTGGTGTAGAATTCTGCATGCAGATTTGTGTTCAGAATGGCCAAACAGCAATGAGCTAAACATTCAGTAAATTAAAAAACTTACTTTTGGTCCCCAACCTGAAAAAAAGAAATAGTTAAAATCTATTGTGTGTTCTCAGTATTCATGACAAAGGAGCTGCAGGATCCATCTGGGTATCAGCCTAGGAGATGTGGGACTCTAAATGCCACTTCCACTGCACCCGAGTTTCACTCAGCAGAATTCTTATGTGAACTGAAAACAGGTGAGGGAGGATGAAAAGGGTGACCCATGAAATGGACCTGTCCTCCTCCAATGCTTTTTCTGCAGCTCTCCCTGCCACAGTGACAACTGTAGGCTCCTCTGCTCCAAAGCCAAATGTGCTACTGCTCCTACCTAGTGAGAGGAGGTCACCAAATATACCATCTACAATTACAGTTTCTGCTGCTAGCTGTAGAAGGTTTCTATTCAAGAGTCGCAATTGTCTTCTCGTTGGAATAAAATGTGAGGTATTTTAGGAAGCTCTTAGGGAAGCTGAGTGGATTGAAGCATTGTTGTGCTAATTAAAGCTTCTTTGATTTTCCCAACGCTTAATCTAACACTGTGAAGAGAGAATTTGTATAGCAAGGCCAACCATGGGAGATAATGCAACCCCAAAAGTACCTGGTAGAAGCCTTGAGCACAGAATGTTTCTCATCATCTTTTCTCCCCAGACTGAAAAAGAGCACGAAATTGTGGTGTTTCTACAGCCTTCCAAGGGAAAAATGATGCAGGCCTGTTTACTCCTGTGGGCTCTGGGTTACTTCAAGAGCCTGTATTTGGCTGTGGCAGGCCAGAGCAGCTGCTCTCGGGGCAGCCCTGAAGGCACCTGCTCCAGATGCTGCAGAGGGTGGGCAGCACTTCAACACTGGGGAAAGGTGCACCCATCAAAAAAGTTTGGTTTTGCTTTCAGAGCTACAAGTTGTTTTATGGCTTGGAGAAATTTTAGGATTCTTATTCATTGAAGAATAAAGACCTGGTTTCTGCGTGGCAAGACAGTATATATTCACACCTGAGATCCATTGGATTCCATAAAGCAACTGTTTTGTAGCCTTTAATCAAACAGTACATGAAAACTGACCAACTTCCAAGATTAACTACCAGATAAATCAAACCTATGTTTAAATCTTCAATATTCTACAAAAAAGGTAATAGGAAAATTGCACCTTGTTACTGAATGGACTCGGTCCCTCTCTGTATTGAAAGTCTGCTGAATTATTGCTCCTCTTAGAACACACTTGCCAGAGTGGCTGAAGAAGAAAGGAGCTTATTCCATGGATCTTCATGTCTGTTACCTAAGCTATACCTGCAGAGACACACATTTTTTCCCTCACTGTAGGATGTTTTAGAGAGAACCTATACAGGAGGTGTCTTGGTGTAACCAAAGGAAGAACTCAACATACAACCTTTTTGTAAATTATGAAGTGTAAAATATAACCTAGGAGGATTTTCATTTTGAGGTAAAAACCACACATATTTACTTTTGAGATTAAGAAAGGAATTAAGACAGAGATTCAACTAACCCAGTACACAGTGTTGGTTGGTTGGGTTTTTGTTGGTTTGTTTCTGTTTTTTGGGGGTTTTTTAATGGAGTGATTATAGAGGGCAAAATCATGTCCTAGGACCTAGTCCTGAATGCACAGATTTTCAACAGGAAATAACAGGAGCTTTGCTAAGAGCAAATGGGAGAACTACTGCTACTGCAGAGATGAAAAACAAGCCTTTTTTTGGTTTGGGTTGGGTTTTTATAAAGACAGGAAAGAGAAAATAAAGAAGCAATGAGACTTTAGACACACCTAGAGCCAGAAAAACTCAATGACAGTGATCACCCCCTTGACCACCACAAAGCCGCCAACAACAGACAAACAGCTTGCACCAGACCCATTTAAGATCACTGCAAATCCTTACTGACAACTCAACAAAACAATTTCAGACACTTTGTAAGTGATATTCAATCAACTGACTAAACACTCAAAGCTATCGATGAATGAGGGTTTCATTGACAAAAGTTCTTCTCAACCAAGAAGGCAAAACAAGTCAGGGAATGAAATCACATGACAGGCCACACAAAATGTTCTGCCTCGTGTAACGTCAGGATATTTTCACTTCATTTCACCAAGTGTGATCAGCGCTCTGTGTGCATCCCACTGTTGGAAACTGCCCCCATCTCCAGAAAAACATATCTCTGGGTCGACTCCCAACACACAACAGCTTTGGCACAAAATAACGAGCATTTATGTCATTGCCTCCTTTGTGTACAACACAACACTGGGACATGGCACACGTGGCTCTATCGGAGCACTCTGCATGAAACACGCCTCCATAAAGCAATTTTCCACAAAAAACAATACCAAGTCACTTGGATTTCATGATATCCAGCCCAACCCAAAGTCCATGGTCATTCACACAGTGCTTTGAAACCTTGTTACAAGTCTGCACTTATATGATAATGTTAATACTCACAAACCGTTGGAGGGTGAAATCAGTTTTTATGGCCAGTAGACTTGACCTGATTTTGAGTTTTGGTGGGACTGAATGATGTCTCAAAATTGAGGGCAAAACAGTTTGGCCCCATAACATTATTCAGGGCTAGGTCCAAAGCCTGAAGAAGCCAAACCTTTGGATTAATTGCACTGTAAAGCTTGAATTGACATTTCTAAGCCTCTCAATGCCCACAGCCACACTCACTACATTTCCCACTCACTACATTGCCACTTCTTATATCACTCAGTAGGAAAATTTTCAATAAAGCAACCATTCATTTCAGACAGAACTGGCCAATAGTGACAGCAGAGAAACCAGACTCCAGAAAATAACCAGACAGAATAAACCTGGGTAAGATCCTTAAAAATTATCTTTAATTGATGCCAAGTATGAACAGATGAACTAGTACAGAAGCAGGTAAAACTGCATAGATGAAAACTATGCATTTCAAATAGTTCAAGAACTCATAACATCAGATGTTCTAAAAATGGTAAGTCAAACAATTTCACTACTTGGAAGTAAAATGAGCTGTAATGTGACAATGAAGTACATACTTGACCCAAAGTATAAGCGATTGATAAATGGTGGAAATAAGTACAGCTGTGTCAGCTTAAATGGTTTGTTGCCCTGATGGTGCACTTTCATATTGAGACTATTCAGTTTATATATTTCAGATCGGCAATATTTAATATTTAAAATCAGAGGTATGTCTGAGAGGCCATTTACAGTTCTATTGACAGCTGTTATTTATTCATTTCAAACCGACATACTGCAAAAAAACCAATGTTTTACATGTAAAGGAAAGGAAAAAAAAATTCATTTTAGCAGGTTATAGGTAAGGGTTTGCTGAATTTAGTCATAAAAATATCATTTTTACTTTTGTACAAAAGTAAAATATACATTTGATCCCAATTACATTATAGAAATGTCACTGAAACAATAACATGGATCAAAGACTGATGCACCTAAAGGAACTGAATGCAGCGTCTTCATTTTATTATAGAAACTAGAAATGGAAGATGATTTTTTTTTAATATATATAACTTGTAGTGACATTTGCTAGAGCCTGTGAACAGGTGAAATATACAGAATTACATAAATATTAACAGAAACCTTGAGACAAATTTCAGTTAAGACCTCAGTTTCATTTTATTTCCTTTGAAAATATCAAAGCATGCTATGCCTTGACAGCATAAATTGTTGACCTCACTGTTGGCAAGTTGACCTGTACTGAGTGAAACTGTAGAACACCCTGAAGTTTCTTTTTTTTATTTTTTTTTTATTTTTTTTTGCAGATACAAATACTGACACCTTTAAGAATACTTGATAAGCATTTCAGGAAAAAGAAATTCCCTACACCTGATTAAATAAAACCAGAACAACAGAAAACAGAAAGAGAAACTCAGCCTGAATTAAGTCCAACCAAAATTGAAGTGTAGGTCCCTGGTTGAAGCATATCAGAAAAAGAGCCTGTTCCAGACTTGCAGGAGGCAGGTTTGAGACAAACTTGCCCTGCTGTGCAATTGCAAGGACAGCATTCCAGTTCCATCCAGCTCTGCGGCTACAAAGACTAAATCACACCTTGGAGCTGACTCTGCATCCCTGTGAGTCTGAAATTACTCTGAGGATCACTGGCATCAGGCTGCTGGAAGCCTACAGGATCAGACCATTCCTGGAAAAGCTGCAGTACCTCCCTCTTCTTCAGGTTAGGGGAAAAATTAATCCAGAATGGCACCCCTCAAGCAACAGTTATCAAGGTAGTATTTGGAAAGGAATGCATTCTGTCCGTGTATTGCATATGTATGTAGAAGATTTTGCTCTAAAATACAACTTTACACTTTTTTCTAATAAATTTCAGATGTTCCTGACCTAGTGTTGGTTGTATTTTGTTTAATAAATGCACATATAAGAAACTACACTGTTCAAGTGTGGACTATGGAAAAGCGAAACTCGCCTCCAGTTCCTTAAAATCAGCAGGTTTTGAGGTTATGTTTGGGCTTCAGCTCTCTCACAGTAGAAACTAAATTCCTGTACTTCTGCCTACTGAAAACGATTGTCCCCTAGTAAGGAAAAAACCCTGTCAATATAAGTTGCTACTGCTCCTGTTGCCAATTTGGGCCGCTGCAGCCTATGATAAATGATACACACCTGGTTTGCTAAGAGCAGTCTGATCTCTGGAATCTCTGTGTGGGCAAAAACCACTGCTGCAAACAAGAGGACCTTGGCTGAATTTTGTCCTGTCTCCAGTGCTTCATTCTGTTTCACAAGTGCTTGTCCACTTGATTAACAATACAACAGGCTAGCACATGTGCAGTTTTACAAAGTGGAAATTAATTTCCTTGGGCCGCAATAGTTTTCAGCTTCCCAGAAGGCAGCAGAATGGATTATCCTCACAAAGGTGTAAACCAGGAACAAAGGGAGGGACTCACCAGAACTGGCACCAGGATCAAGTATTAGTTTTCCCCTCAGTAAGCCAGGCTGTGAATCTGCAGCACCCGTGTACCGAGAGTTTTGGTGCACGTGGGCACCCCCTGCACAATGGGGTTACTTCCAGTACATCTCATGATTACTACAGGCTTATCTGTCTGAATGGACTTGTGAGGCAGATGAGGTAAACTGCATTAAGCCCCATTGTGTTCGGAATTAAAGCAGCCTTAATTCAATTCAGGTTACTTCCCTTCCAAAAGAATGACTCCAAATCAGATTAAGGTTGCTTTAATACTGCAACAGAATGTCCATGCTGGGCTTTAAAGCAGTTTAACAAATCTACTTTAACTGCACACCTTTCATTAATTCAGATTGGCTTTCCTGAAGTCCCTGGTGGAGATAAGGCTTAGGAGACCCCATGCAGACAATCTGCACAGGTTTGCTAGGATGCTGTGAACTCACAGCCTGGCTTTCTGCACCCTAGCTTACTCATGAAGGTGACTAAATCCAGTTGATGGCCCATGCTGGAGCTGCCATTCTGAGGGTTTGAGCTCTCAGCAGTCTTGCAGCAACTTCTCGGTTCTGTGAAGGAACAGGGTACAAGAGTCCTTCATTTTCACTCTCACCCTTGTTCCTCTGCCTCTCCCTAGTGCTCTAGAGCTAAGTATGGTAGAAACAAATGGGTAAGTCTGGCAGGGATACCAGCCCATGGGATTCCTGCCCACTGACTCTCTGCTTCATTCCTGCCTCTGCACTGCGGTGCACTGCTGCCTCACCCTTTCCAGGTGAATTCCCTCACCCCTTTCCCTGAGTGGGTGAAGGAAAAGCTGCACAGGATCAGCTAAGAAGCAGAGAGAGGCGCAGAGCAGTGGGTGGTTCAGGGGGCTTGGGGAATTTTTCTTCTGGAAAAGCTGTCTTCCCCTCATCAAACTAAAGACTGTCATGTCCACTGGGTTCCCTGTCCAGCATAACATGGGCATTACTTCTAGGAGGTCCCGACCAAAGGAATTATCTTGACTCTTTCAAAGAAGCACTACACTGGGAATCAGCTCATTTCCAGTCCTCTTCTAGTTACATAAAAAAAAAACCTTAGAGTCCACATATGGCAAAAAGCAACATAAGGGCCAAAAGAAGAAACAAAAAAAAAAAAAAAAGAGATATTAAAAGAAAAGAAAGAAATAAAAAAGGGATGCTTGCTGATAAGAACAGGCAGTTTGTTAAGTGCACCTTCAGGCCCACAAAGACATTTCAGCACTCCTGTATAGAGGGAGTTAGAACCTTGTTTTTGTTGTTTATTGTTTTTTTTGTGTCAAACTTGTTGAAAATGCATGCCTATGCTACATGAGGTTAATTCCTGTACTCTGTATGGATTGAGATCCTTTGCAGTGAGCTATAAATGGACAAAGTAACATTCAGGCTCCCCAAACCACGAGTTCCTATGATCCGTCCTGGTCTCCTGATAAAGAATCGTTGCATGCAGCACTTTTCCCTGTGCATAGGCAGAATGATCATCACTCTGCACATTAAATTAAGGTGTGCACAGCCAGCTGGGACAGAAGGTACTCAAGTGAGGCCCCATCTCCTAAACGCATCCTTCTGATCATCAGTCCCATAGCACTGAACTGATTATTGCTGTCAGATGGTGGTTTTATAAGCTGAGTGCAGCATTCAGGTCCATTTTAACATCAGAAGTCATATCCTACAATTCAAGAGTTTGGGAAGATAAGGAATTTAATAGGGAGAGAAATGTACAGTGGGCAAGGGCGTGAGCAGCAGGGGACAGGAAAGAAGCTTTACAACATCTACCTAGAGGATGTAATGCCCTGTTTTATCTGATGCTTTGCACTTTTTGCAGGAGTTAGAGCTCCCTCAGTTCTTGATCTTTCTCATCACTAAGATTCACAAAAGTCACACAGTGAGAAGTAAAGTCAAGTCTTTCTGGAAACCTGTCAGGTCAAGCTTGTGCGTAACTGCAGTTAGGGTTGGTTTTTAACTCTAAGTGCCTCGATTTTATTTTATATATACATGTGTCTGCATACGTATGTGACACACACAGAAGCAGACATATATATATATATTTATACACATATATACATATATCAGAAAGGGGAGGAAAGTATCTATACAGCATGGAAGGAGATGTGTTCAACAGCAGTTGGCCACATGCTAAGTGCAGAATGAAGATCCTCAGCTTTGTCCATTTGAAGAATTGGGATTAGTGCCTACATTCGTTCAGATCAAAGGTTGTTATCTTCTAGGGCCTAGCAGTCAAGGCTGGCATGTTGCAGAAGATACCTTCTCCTAGCATTGCTTCCCTCACCAGGAAATGATGGAAGTACAGTAAGATCAGGACCAGGAAGAAGAACATGGCTCAAAGGCTATGATGGGATCTAAGATCTGAAAGGGGATAGAGGAGACAGGGATGGGAGGGCAAAGCCTTTCCCATCTACCTGCTGGGGAATCTAGGGGAAAGAACACAGTTCTCCAGCCTGGTTGCCTGACTGGGTGATGCCAGGGCTCCTGCTCCTCCTGTGCCCTGCTCTGCAGGGACAGGCTGCCAAAAAGCCACCTCAGGGAAAGAAAGGGCAGATGCAGTGATGGCAGTGACGCCTCTATGAACTACCTGGGGAAACCTGAAGCTTTGCATGTACACAAGTATGAGTTATTTGGCAGAAGCCAATGCAGAGCCCTGCAGTGTCAGACTGGCTGGGGAAGGAAAGTATTCCATGGCCACTGATGGTCTCTGCCGACCTCTTCTGCATCCCTCTCACTCACACTTGATCTTTTCTATCCCTAAACCCTTCCGTGCTGGGCCAGTAGACAGCACAGGACACTCCTGACAGTGGACTGACTCCTTGTCCTTTCCCTCAGTGTCTCTGATCCGCTCAGTTCCTGGAGGCACTTTCAGCAGTTTTGGGGGGTGTAAGATTAAAGGCACTGCACAACTCTCTCAATCAATCTGCTGAGTCTCTTCAGTGAGCTTTGCGGGGGGATACAAAAAAGTCTCAACTGATGACTGCAAAAAAAACCAGCTGCTGCAATTTGGATGCATATAATAGATAAGTTTCATTTACATTCTGAGAATGCACCAAAAAGCATGCATCTGCACCTTTCATCTATAGAGGATACTAGGTTTTTAGGTGTTTCTATATATAACTTGACTTCTTAATTTTCCATATAGCTTTCCCTTGAAGGGATGGGATATATTCCTTTCCAACAACGCCTGGACAAAAGTCAACACATTTCCCTAAGCAATGCAGGAAAACAATCAGGTTTCTCTAATCAGTTAATTCAGGCCCTCAGTCTATCAAGCACTTTTTTTTTTATTTTTATTGTTATCATTATTGTTGTTATTATTATCATCATTATCATTATTATTATTATTAGCATTGAATTCATGCACTAATTAATTCAAGTTACACTTTAATCAAATAGGCCATAATGCTGAATATTTGAACATGCTTCGATCTCCAAAAATTATTGTTCCCATTTGACTAACATATGCACTTAAATACAGTACTTTAAATTACTAGTCAACGATTTAATAAATTAAGGAGTGCACTTCTGGTGAATGCAAATCAAAAAGAAAAAGAAAAAGAAAAGGATTGAAAAAATAGAGGAGAAAGGACCTAGTTTTAGAAGATTCAGTTCAAACGAAAGCTTATCTGCTATTGTCTGAGGTAACGTTTCAAGCATGCTATCATAAAATAAATAGTATCAAATTCAAACATGCTTATATTAAACTCCATTGTGCTATCTTGCAACAGAGGGGCTTAGAGTTTTGTATCCAGTTGCAAATGGGGGGGGGGAAGTGTGTTTCTATCATCTGCATGTGAAAGAATTTAGCAGCATTGCAGATGTTTTGTCTTCAGTTTTGTTTGCTATTCTCATATTTCTTCTACAGACAGCAAAAGAGACCAGGCTTAAGTAGGTTTTTTAATAAGGTGCTGTGTGGATCTGTAGGTTGGATAGATGGAATCTTTCACAGAGGGGGCGGAAGGAAAATTTGAACTCCTTCATAAACGCCACGGCAAATGCTTGCCGCAGGTTTTGGCTGATCTTTTTTACTATTATTATCTGATGCACCTTCTTGCAACTGTGCAGTTTTTCAGAATATTTTTACTGGAATCCATGCATATGCTTAATAGCTCTAAAAACTGTCTTGCTTAGTTTAAGATAAATTTTTCAAAAAAAAAGAAAAAAGAAAAAAAGAAAAACCCAACAAAGGAGATAGGAGAGGAAAAGTTTAGGTCTAGTGTCATAACACCTTAAAAACTAAACTAGTTCAAATGGTTATCATTTACCAGGTGGAAAACATTTTTTTTTAAATAATCAAAATTTTATCTTTCGTGGATCCTGGAAGCTTCTTTATCGCAGAGCAAAGATTTGCAATGCAACAATGCATTTACGAGGTAAATAAAGCATTCAAAAACTATCAGTAAAGCATCTACAAAGTGTGACTGTGTCACTAAAGTCTTCAAGCTGTGAGTGGGGATTTTGTTTTGTTTTGCTTTTTTCTGTTCTTTTTTTTTTGTTTGTTTTTTTGTTTACACATCAGTCAGCAGCTTGCTTTTATTAACGCAGTTTTGGTTGGCTACAGTGCAGTTGCCAGTTCTGAGATTAGCCTCTCTAAAATTGTCTATGCTATTATTCATATCCTCTTCGATTTCCATGTACTCAGATTTGCTGATTGTGGAGGAGCTGCGGCGACTGAGATCACTGTCAGATGCTAAATTAGGGGAGCTAACGTGAAGTAACTGAGCCTGTTCTTCCCCTTCTGTTTCTCGGTGGTAGAAGTAGTTGAAGTTGGACACGATGACAGGTACAGGCAGGGCAATTGTCAGCACACCAGCGATGGCACACAAGGAGCCTACGATTTTGCCTCCAATTGTCACAGGGTACATGTCACCATAGCCCACAGTGGTCATGGATACCACCGCCCACCAGAAAGCATCAGGGATACTTGTGAAATGAGACTCAGGTTCTTCAGCCTCAGCAAAATATACCGCACTAGAGAACAAAATCACCCCAATGAAGAGGAAGAAGATTAGTAAACCTAGCTCTCTCATACTTGCTTTCAGGGTCTGTCCCAAAATCTGGAGGCCCTTAGAGTGCCGGGAGAGTTTGAAGATTCGAAAGACTCTTACCAGTCTGATGACTCTCAGGATGGCCAAGGAGGTGGCCTGCTCTCCTTTCTGAGTCCCCTCCCGTTCGGCCATCTCGGTGCCCAGGGTGATGAAGTAGGGGATGATGGCCACAATGTCAATGAAGTTCATTATGTTCTTGAAGAAATCAGTCTTGCTAGGGCAAGCAAAGAAGCGCACCACCAGCTCAAAGGAGAACCAGATGATGCACAGGGTCTCCACAACAAAGAAGGGATCTGTGAAGATGTTGGATTTGTAGACCTGGGTGGTATTGTCAGTGCGGTGCACTGTGTACTCCTTGTCTTCCTTCAGCTCAGGTAATGTCTCTAGGCAGAAGATCACGATGGAGATGAGGATCACCATGACAGAGACTATGGCAATAACCCTTGCCGGCCCAGAGCTCTCTGGGTACTCAAAGAGGAGCCACACTTGGCGCTGGTACTCCCCCTCCGGCAAGGGTCTCTCCTCATCTTTAATGAATCCTTCATCTTCTCGGAACTTCTCCATGGCCTCCTCGCCCAGCTCATAAAATTTGATCTCCTCAGAGAACATGTCCAGGGGGACATTGACCGGCCGGCGCAGCCGCCCCCCGGACTGGTAGTAGTAGAGGATGGCGTCGAAGCTGGGCCGGTTGCGGTCGAAGAAGTACTCGTTGCGCAAGGGGTCAAAGTAGCGCATGCGCTTCTTGGGGTTGCCCAGCAGCGTGTTGGGGAACTGGGCTAAAGTCTTCAGCTGCGTCTCGAAGCGCAGTCCCGCAATGTTTATCACCACGCGCTCACAGCACTCGTGGTCATCGTGGGCGGCGGGCTGGTAGCTATCCTGGGGGTGGCCAGGTAGCGCAGAAGTCTCGTCCATGTTCTCTCCAGCCATCACAGTCATGGTGGCACACAGGAAAAGGGACCAAGGGGCAGGGGAGAAGTGAGGGAAAGGGAGGAGGAGGAGGATGGAGGAGCACAGAAAGACCCAGGGCGGTTCAAGGGTAGGGGGGGGTTGAGGTGGGGTGGGGAGCTTGAGGAAGGGGTGGATGTGGAGCCTAAAGGATGGAAATACTCAAAAGGGGAAAAGACAGGCGGGATGAAGGGAGAGGCATCAGGGATGATGGGAGGGTGAAGAAAGAGGGAAGAAGTACCTTTAGGGGGGGCAGAGGGCAGGTAAGGTGAGGGGTCCTGTCCCCCAAACCGGGAGGCTGAAGGTCTGTGGAGTGCACCCCCAGGCTGGGATTCCCCTC